AATACGCCTTTATGACCGGTAACATATTTTTTTTCATTGTAAAAGAAGGATAGTTATAATAATGATATAAAGCGAGGATCATTACAGACATTTAAGATGGGATATGGAGCTAGGTGTACGTGAAACTTAAAAAGTCCAAGCGAAAGTATAGAGGAAACAATACAAAACCCCTATTTACAAAGTGAAAAAAAAAACACAAAAACTAATAGTAAAAATGAAAGTTAGAATGGACTTTTAAGTTATTTATATTCTTTTTACATATCATTGATCTATAACAAATAAATTAAATAAATATATAATAACTTTAATATTATACATACATTTTTTTAGAAAATCAATATTTTTAATACATTTTTAAACCAAATCATATGAAAAAGACATGTCGAAATCTCTAGTTGTTACGAAAAACTCGCAAGACTTCCACTCTAATTAACCTCATAAATTATTAATGTAAAAAGATATTTCATGCAAATAAAAATGAAACACATAGCAGTTTTATTTTATCTTATATATAAAAGGAAGATATTTTGAATTAAAACCTAAACCTAAACCTGGGGGCAATTTTGTCAAATAATAAATTAGCAGTTTTAAATTCCTTTCAATGAATTATTATTTTTTATTTGCGATTTTAGTTGGGCATTATTTTTGTTTCTCTAATTTTGTTTTCTTCTTTTTATTGGTTTTTAATTTTTAATATCACCCAATATCTTAAAATTTTATTATTTATTTATTTATTAAATACACTTTTTTTTAAAAGTATTAAATACACAATGATTAATGATAAATACACGATCATTTCCTATTTTCCTATTTATCCGTTGCACGTTCTGCAACACAAAAAGGCACTAACCGCCGCATCAAGAACAACAGAGCACTAATAAAAAGCCAAAAATTAGAGTATTCCATGAGGATTGAAGAAATTCCCTTTTCACCCCTCCCGTAGAAAATCTCAAATGGAATTTTCCATGTTTCCATATTTCAGGTATGAATTTAAAGGAAAATTGTTGAAGAAATTTAGTTGATTGTTAAATTCTCTTCAATTCGGTGTATATGACACATGTTCTCACGGATTAATTTTTATCAGAAATTAGATTTCGTGTAATCTGAAATATTGTTAATAAAACACACACATACATACGCATAGATAAGTAAAATCAATGAAAAAGGGTTTGAGTTAACAAACAAGATCAATGACGGAGAATAGTTGCCCACAGGGGCTGATTTTTTGTATATATCTAATGCATAACCGTCTGTTAGTTAATACACGATCAAGTAATCACTTTATCCATATTCTTCTCTTTTCCTTTCTTTTTTGTTCGTTTACTTCTGTGCGCAATATGCTTATGATTTTCTGAAAATTTATTCTTCTTTTGTTCGTTTTATTTCGCTAATTGTATAATGTTAAATCCAAGAAGAAATATAATATGCTACATAAATATTTTGAGATATTTTGAGGGACAGATGAATTAAAAGTGTTAGTGAAGGGATTTGATTCGTCCCTCCTTCGTGTACTGTATACTCTCACCATACTCTATGTTCTGTTTTATATTGTGATACTTATTGCTAAATCTTGGTTTTTATGGTGTTTGTAGATATGCCATTTTGAAACTTGGAAGCAGATGTCATATAAACTAAAAAAACCTACGAAAGCTGATTTTATTTGCTTTGAGCTTTCTGTTTGCTAAAAATCCTTAAAATCTTATGTCGTATAATAAAGTTGATATTTTTTATTTGTTTGAGAGTGAAATGTCCCATATTTATTGTGTCTTCGCAGAAAAGACAATTAATTTATAGAGTTTGTTAGGACGAAGAAATTTTACTACATGTATATGATATACGTAAATTTACACAAGATCAAATTTCAGATTTTTTTTTTCCTGTTTTGGATTCTCAGGTATTCTGTTTATTTTCCTTTTATCTATAATGAAAAATAAACCATGATATAAAAGTTTATTGAGGATGGACGGCCTGGCAACTCCTGAAGGTAGATCAACATCGAAACAACACAATATTTGTTACCTCTTACATAACTACTCTTCTCATATTTGTGTTAACGTATGAAAATTCTTACTATATATAAAAATGTGTGGCGATTTTATTTTTTGTTTTTCTAAATTACTCCGTTTGTTTGTATTTGTAAATCTTCATTTTTTTAAGTTTTGTTCTTTTCCAGAGGGTTCGATGAATTATTGGCCGTATATTTTCGGGTATTATCAGATATATTGTACATTGATGAATTCTTGCTGGATTTTCGCAAAAAATATTTCATGTTTTTGTTGTTGTTTGCTATTTTTGTTTACGAAAGGTGTCTGTTGTTTTCGTTCTCATATAGTTTGATTTTTTTAAATTAGTGTAGGTTTATGTTGCGTTGTTTCTGTTTGCTATTTTGCTTTTTTGTTTTTTTTTCTCGGGAAAAGATTTCGATATTTTTTATTTTATTCTATTGTATTTTAAGTTTGCTATTTCTTTCATTTTCTTCAGGGTTTGTCGAAACAAGGAGCAATTAAAAATGACGAAGCCATATCCATTCTCAGCGCGCTGTTTTTTGGGCTTGCATTCATCATGGTATTTTTTCTTCTACACAAACATGAACCTTCTTTTTTGATTTTGTCTTTATGATTTTGATGTTTTTGTTTAAAGGATTACTATGGCCGTGCTACTACATTATCGCGAAACAACTCCCACGAGGAGATAACTCGATCAACTCTATTACCCCACGACGAGACAACTCCCACGAGGAGATTACTTGATCCGTGCTACCACATTATCGCGAGACAACTCCCACGAGGAGATAACTCGATCAACTATATTACCCCGCGACGAGACAACTCCCACGAGAAGATAATTCGCTACTACATCGTCGCGGGACAACACCGACGACTCAAATAACTTACATAGCGACAACTTGGTCGCGCTACGTGCCAACGCGCATTCACGCCCCTCCGACACACGCTCCAACGCGTTTTCGCACACCATCAACCACTACAATTTTCACTCTCGACACGATCTGTCACCCATTTCAACATGGCCCCCACATCGACTCGAAAGTGGGGGGCTTAATGATATGCCTAGTTGACCCAACCCAATGGGCCTACAAATTATTTACCTACTGGGCCACGAGCCCAATATCGAAGACTACTATCACCGAGGTCCAATCACCTTCAAGTAAAGTTTGGGCCCGACAATCTCAACTAAGCTATAAATAAAGGTTTGAACTCATTCCTTAAGGTACGTCCTATTAACTGAGCAATACTATTAACTGTATTCTCTGGACTATTTCTATGATCAGCACGTCTGACTTGAGCGTCGGAGGGGTTTCCGCCGGATCAACCCCCGACTTAGTTCATGTGTTATATGATCGCAGGTACCTCAGGATCATTAAGTTGTCAAGCTACTGATCTGCTTTGCTCTCCCAGTTCATTTTCTACACCATCCCAGATGATCTAAATAATTAGCATCATCATGCTCATATGCAAAAAAGTCAAACCACATGAGGTTAAATGCTATTTACCATTTATATAATTTGTAAGCTTGTTGGGTTTTATTTGTATTGTATTTCCTTAATTTTCACATGCGGAGGTTTTTTTTTTTTAATAAATTCGTGAAAGTAAACATGTTGAATTAATTGATGATATTAAATGATTTGTCTTGTACTCTCATGATGGCATTAATGTTTGTAATAGTTTGTTTGGTGAGCTTATTGAGTTGGATTATGGTCTTAATCATGTTCTTTGACTTGTCATATCATCTCATGCTTATTATGCTTATTTTTTTTAGGAAGAACTACTGAACTCAATCACTAGCTATAGTTATTCTTCGGTATAAACTGTTTAGAGAAGTCGGAAAAAAAATTGGAATTTTATATCTAAACAAGTTTTATATATAAAAATAAAAAAAAGTTCCAAGCTAGGTTTTCAATGTAGCCTTGCTTCCTTGATATATTTAGTCGATTGCTAGTATGGATCAACCCAATTGGCTTGTCTTTAGGTGTCGTTTGAATTGATACGGTTTTTCTATGAAATCTATACTTTTCTGATTTTCCCTTTCTAATTTTCTCTATCGCTCTCTCCGATTATCTGAAAGGTCTGTGAAAAGTATTGTTTGAATGTTTAAAGTCGATTGATACAGTCGGCAAATTTCAAATTAGTCAAGCAATCTTATTTAATAACTTATATAGTCAATTAATGTGAACCAATGTTAGAAGAACCGGACCGGACCGGTCGGTCGGACCGGTCCGACCGCGACCCGCCACGAAAGCGGTCCGGTCTGACGCCGAAAACCGGGATATTCAAGAACCCGGGTCAAATGTCAAAAACCCGGTTCGACCGGCAAAACCCGGCGAACCCGGAAACCGGTCAGTGACCCGGGTTCTTATCTAAAACACTTCGCCGGTGATTGTTAGTGGCCGGATCTGCAAGAAATTCGCCGGAGGTGGCCGGATCTGGGTGGAGTAGGCCGTGGGTGGCCGGAAATCTGGCGGTGGGTGGCGGACTTCGACGAGTTTGGGTCGTGGGTGGAATAGATTGTGTTGTTGGATATGGAGTGATAAGAGTGATAAAAGAGAAGAAGAAAATGGAGAAAAAAAAAAGAAAAAGAAAACCGGAAAAAAATGGGGAGAGAGACGGGAGAGAGGTAGGTGATAAGATGAGAGAAGATGGAGAGAGGAGAGATAGAAAAGTAAAAAAATATATAATAAAAAATTGGGTGTGAGAAATAATAAAGGGAATAGTTTATATATTTAAAAATTAATAATAAATAGAAGAGAGTGTGTAAAATAAAAAAATATATATAGAAAAAATATATTTAAAATATTAAAATTGATAAAATAATTAAAAATTAAAAAACCCGGGTCGAACCCGGTTGAACCGGTCCAACCGTGACCCGAATGTCTATCCGGTTTTGTGGCCGGTCCGGTTCTGATAACATTGATGTGAACAATTAGTTTTTCGAAAAGGATCAACAAAATAATTAACTTACCTAGTTGGCCTATTTTGTCTATCATTCCTAAAATTTGATGGGTGAGACCTCATTCAAATAAAACATATAGGGCAGTTTGGCTAAAAGATATAAGTTGAGGGGTTCAATTGAAAAGTGGATTTAGACACTCATTATTAATCAGTGCCATTTTTCCTTGTACCAAATCCATCATCAGCAATGGAGATTTCAAACTCGCCGGAAAACAATGAAGCTCAGACCACCGCAAAACAAATCTTCATCCTATCGGGCCAGAGCAACATGGCGGGCCGAGGCGGCGTCGACCGGCACAAGCACTGGGACGGCGTGGTACCGGCGGAATCCGCCGCCGACGGCCGCCGGATCTACCGTCTGAACGCCCACCTCCACTGGGAGGCGGCGCGTGAGCCTCTCCACCGAGACATCGACACGAAGAAGACGTGCGGCGTGGGGCCCGGGATGTCGTTCGCCAACGCGGTGAAGGAGCGCGTGGGGGTCGTGGGACTGGTGCCGTGCGCCGTCGGAGGGACGGCGATCAAGGAGTGGGCGCGTGGGCAGCACCTGTACGAGAATATGGTGAAGCGGTCGAAGTCGGCGGCGGCGGCGAACGGCGGCGGCGGAGGAGGAGAGATCAGGGCGGTGCTGTGGTACCAAGGGGAGAGCGATACGGCGTCGCAGCAGGATGTGAATGCTTACAAAGTGAATATGGAGACGCTGATTCACAATGTGCGTCAAGATCTGAATTTGCCTTCTCTTCCCATTATTCAGGTTAGTAGTTATCATTTTATTATCCGTTACGATTTTAATAACAAGTATTATTTATTAATTTGGCCAAATAATTTTGTTCTAAACCCACTCAGATAAATTAATAACCTCTTTTAAATAATAATTTATTTCGATTTCGATTAAGTAAAAGTATACTAAATTATTAGTTCGATAATTTAATATTTTGCCAGAATAAATAGAATTATGATGTGAGATCATTCAAGTTGGGTAATTCCTAGGTTTTTCGAACTTAAAAATAACAAATGAAAAAAAAAAGTAATTAAATAATCAAGAATACTATTCGCCAATTATATTCATTACAATATTCTTTTAGATTTAACATGTTTGATATGTTAAACTCAAGTACATTGCATACTATATACTCGTTGATCGTTCAATTTCAATTCCAATTTCAATTCATATGTTCCTTTAGCTAGAGATAATAAAAAAAATATATATAAAAAAAAAAATTTATTATTTACTATTAGAAATCCAATAATGCATTAAATTAATTTTTGTAAGTAATATCTTTATTAGTCCATCTTCTTAAAACATTATACTCTTTGTTACAACTTCTTTAAAATTTTAATGGTTTTAGTCTTTGTCATAAGCCCTTTCTAAGATTCACTTATATTAGAATTATATTTCAAATTTCTTGTTTTGAATAGACTTCTAGCGTAAGATTGCATAGGAATATATACTCAATCCCATATTGTAAGATGGAAAAGGAATATATACCCAATCCCACCATATAAATAAGGGTTAGTTACGTCTACCTCTCTGGGATAAGGTCAAATTACGAAATATTCCCTTATGTTTGGGTAATTACAATCATCCACTTAACTATGAATCTTCTTACGCCTTCTTTCTTGTGGTGTCAAATTTAGTCAAATTTTCTGGATTATGTTAGATTCTCCAATTTTACCCGTTTTACTCCAATCGATCTCCACATTTTGAAACAAGATGTGTCTATCTCTTGCCATGTAAATATCAGATTGTGGTACATCAGAAACGACATTTTTGCACAAACCGAGTACAAAGTAGAGAACATTCCACAAAATCTAGTACATTCTATTGAATTTGGCTCCATACTAAACATGAGGGGGGTTTCGTAATTTTAACATTTTTTTTTCAAATACAACATTTTTTTCATTTTTTTATTTATTTTGGTGAATGTAATATGGGTAATTTGCAGGTGGCAATTGCATCAGGAGATGCAAAATACATGGAGAAAATTAGGGAGATACAAAAAGGAATTGAAGTCCCAAATGTAGTGTGTGTGGATGCTAAGGGATTGCAGCTCAAATATGATAATCTTCATCTCACCACTGAGGCCCAAGTTCAATTGGGCCATATGTTGGCCCAAGCTTACCTCACCCATTTTTCCGATTAACAAATTTTATTTCGTCTGATTCAGTTTGTTCTATGTTACACTTGCTGAATGTTGCATTGATAACTATTTAGTATGCATACGTTTATATATGTATGTGTGATGTTTAAAACTATTCGGCGTCGCCTCTAGTAGACCGGCCAATGACTAAGATATAAATGTTATTTTGAAAATAAAATTAATGTTATATTTTTATGATTTATGATTGAATTTTTAAATTGTGAGTAAATGTACAATGATGACGTTGAATCTCCTAAATGTTACATGAAATACGTCGGGCGTTTTATATTTCTAGTTGCACACAATCACATGCATATATACAACATGTGTATTTAAATATATGTGGATATGTTTTACACATGTTTGGTAAAATTTGACTCAATGAATTTCATAAAATGTAGAAATTATATATAGATCCCACATAAAAAAATACTTAAAAATAAGGATAAATTACGGCCGCCTATTGAGGTAAGGTTAAATTATGAAGAAAAAAAATCCTTCATATTTGGATAATTACAACACCCCTCTCAACTATAAATCTTCATGCACATCCATCCTTATAGTTTCAAATTCAACATAATATTCTAGATTTCGTGGAATGTTTTCTAGTTTGTACTCATTTTGTGTAAAAAAAATGCACTTTCTGATGAATCACAATCTGATATACACAAGCCAAGAGACACATCTTATGCTATGATCACCTTGTTTCAAAATATGGAGCTCGAATGGGATAAAATGGGTACAAACTAGAAAACGTTCCACAAAATCAAGAAGATTCCACTAAATTTGACACCGCAATTATGAATGTATAAGAAGATTCATAGTTGAAAAGGGTGATTGTAATTACCCAAACATGAGGGGGTTTCGTAATATGACATTACCTCAGGGGTGGCCGTAATTTACCCAAATAATGGTAAACATTTTTGTAAAATTTAGGTTGAATATAATATATATATAAACTTAATCCAACCTCAGGAGGAATCTGCATAATTTTCTAAATTTGAGGGGTCTAAATGTAATTAAATACTACTTCAAGGGAGGTATTGTAATTTACCCAAATAAAGCTTGTGGATATGAAATGTGTAGAGTAGAACTCCCCTGATTCATCATCTTCACCTCTCACTTTTTTCTCCATTTTCGCTTCTGCTATTCCGTACGCTTAGAAATTGGAAAATCAACGAAACAATTAATTTAATGGCGGCCGCCGCCCTAATTTCTTCTCCTCTCTGCTGCTACTCCGCCATTCCCGGTATATATTCTTTTGTAAATGTACAACTGCTGAAGCTTCAAGTACTACAATTTCTAGCTCGTTTTCTGCAGATGTTCGCGTATTCGCTGCAACGAGAACGACCGCTTCCCGCAAATTCGGAACGGCGTTCGCCTCTGGCTCTCCTCTCCGTAAGAAATTCTGTATTCGGTTTCTCAATTTCGATTTTTTTTTCTTTTCAAATTAATGCGTTGCTTAAACTGTTTGACTATAAAATGTGACAAATTAGTATGTGTAGGCCTCGTTTGGTTGGGGAGATTAGCCATTATTAACTAAATAGTTCGACTTGGGTTTAATGTTTGGTATACCAGATAACTTGCCCGGTCGACTCACAAATATTATGTTATTATGGCTTATCTTGCTTTTTGTAGGGAGCTTTTTTGTTGCATCCGATAAAATAATTATTTTTTCACTAGATTGGCAACCAAACGAGCCCTGAGCAGACTTATAGACTTATTAATTATTATGGTAGGGATTTTGTACTTGTGGTTGTGGATTGTGAATCCTTGACTTCATTTTGTAAGGTAGTAGTGGCATTAATCTCGAAATAGCATTTTAATCCATCTGGCCTATATTATATGTCGTTTTAGGTGGTTGCACGTATATTAAGATATTCAATAAATATGCATAGATTATACAAAAAATAACATAGTAAATACTAAAATACCCTTCTCATTTATTATTTTTTAGTTAACTAATTAAGAGTGATAAGGGGCAAAATTGATAAAAATGCAATTAATGCCTTATTAGAACTCTAAAATGACAAATAATTTGGGAAAAAAAAAACACCCGAAAAAGACATATAATAAGGGAAAGAGGGAATATTTTTTTATTTATTTGGTTTGATCAAATTTATGCCATTGGATTGTGATTTGGTTATATGCATGGATTTGAATCCCTCGATCCAAACGCAGCCTTATAGTTTTCGACTGAAAATTTTCAGTTGAAAAAAATAGGTAAACGAGGTTAATTTTCTAATGTTTCTTGATTTGCAGTGATTCAAAGACCTATTTATCAGAGAAACACGGCTTGCAATTCGAAATCGGTTTCGATAAGATGCGAGCAAGGTACTAAGGAAGAGGGTAGTGGTTTAGATGTGTGGCTCGGGCGAGTGGCTATGGGTGGTTTTGCTGCTGGTATAACTGTTGAAGTTGTCACAGGCAAAGGACTCCTAGAGGTGATTCATTTATTTAGATGCTTTTTTTTTATATTTTATTTTGAAAATTACCGACAAATTTCGAAGCATGTATTATAATATATTCAGGCGTTGGTTATATATGCTTATGATACGTCAATGTTCGATATTTATATGCTATATTTATATTCGATATGGTTCGCACAAAGCAAAACCATATCGTATAATTGGATTAGGGAATATTCAATACACAGTCAAACAAGATAACAGCTCGTTTTTTTCTTCCTAATCGAATAATTCTTAGTTATTTATTTCTCATTTTTTATTTGTTAATTTTGGTCATTGTATTTTTTTTTGTTTTCCTACTTGAGCAGAATTTCGGGCTCGTAGGGCCTTTACCGACAGTGGCTTTGGCAGTTACAGCATTAGTTGGGGTTCTCACTGCAGTCTTCATCTTCCAATCTGCTTCCAAGAATTAACCAGTTTTAATGTTTTTTTTTTTTTTTTTTGTGTATGGTGATTATACAACATTTTTATTTTTATTTTTATTTTTATTTTGTAAGTGTTGTCTTATATTAATGTTACATTTTCAAGTACATAGCCACTTTTGAAGAGTGATCATATTCATTGATATTGTCTATGTGATCAAGAACTCAAGATTGTTCATTTTCTTGTCTTGGCTAGAGGTGTGAACCAGCCGAGCTCGGCTGTTTTGGCAGACTCCAGCTCGAGTCCATTTTGTCGAGCTCGAGCTCGAGCTTATTGATTATGTTTTCTTGGTTCAAGCTCGAGTCGATTTTAACGAGCTCGAGCCCAAGTTCTTTGATTTTTTTTAATTATTTTTTATTAATAAAAACTATTTATTATTATAACAATTTATATTATTATATATTATTTACATAAAAAATAATATACAATAAATAAATAAAAAGAAAGCTCGCTAGCCGGCTCATGAGTTCACGAACTAAAAAAAAGCTCGAGTTCGAGTTCGAGCTTTTCTTCGAGTCGACTCAGCTCGTTTACCAACATTAGTCTGGTTACCAACATTAGTCTGGGTATCTTCAGTAGGACTTATTACAAATAATTAATAAGAGCAAAATTGAGAAGAGTACAATTAATACACGAAGTGACAATAATTTGAATTAAAAAAGAAAAAAAAAACGATTCTCAGAAGTATGACAAATATTTTAGCACAGAGGAGTACTAGCCAGAGAAACCTTCAACACTAGTACTGCATTCGATAATCGGTTTTACATATTCAGCATCAAAACCCATTCGTAATTTGCCAAAGGATTCACCAAAACTACCCACAGCAACTCTGTGTAAGGGTGGTTTTACAAATAAAGACCGTTACCCTCAATATATATACCTATATCAACACAGGTACTATTGTAGCTGAAATTGGTAAAAAACCAAACCCGAGAATTTAAATCTCCATCGACTGTACGCCGTCTTTGGACTTTTTCTTTTTCGTTTTACGTTTTTTAGTTTTATTATCCCTTTTCTTCGGCTTCTCTTCTACAGGTGGCTGTGTATTCTGCAAGTGTTGATAAATAGCAGCTAAAGGATCCGATTGAAAAACCGGATGGTTCATAACCGTTTTCAACTGATTACTTTCTTTCATCCTGAAAAGCAAAATCACTCGAATTTAAAAAAATCATATGCAAAACGAAAAACAGTGAGCGTAATTTAAAAAAATAGTCTTCAATACTCACACTAGCTTATTTCTGCTCTTACTGTTGAGTTTGAACTCGACGGGCCCTGTCTCGGTGGGAGACTTTAATTCGGGGAGGTATTCTGCGAGGGAAGACAGATCGTACGCCTTTAATCTCTTTTGGCGTCTTCGTTTCTTTTGCTGATTTTCCTGTTTTAAATAATTGAATTATTCAATTTATGGCGTTACCGAATAAATTTCATATACACAAACAACATATCAGCCACTATGATAAACCGTTTGAATAACCATGGATATGAAATATTCTCAAAATTTCTTATATTGTCCAAATTATCATCACAAGAATATAATCTTTTCAATAAGAACGAATTAAGTACTAGAATCTATGGAAACGAAATACATTCAGTTTCACGAAGAAAAATCAAAGAAATAAAAGATTAGGGACAAAAAAAGAACGAAAACAAAAACATAACTGAAAGACGAGGGCAAAAAGGAGCATCGACAAAAATCATACCTTAGAAATAGTTTTTTTGGCAACTGCACCTCTCACCACTACAAAACCAGAACCGACATCACGAATTTCATTATATTAAATCCAAACAATATAACCAAACCGAAAAATACCAAAAAATAAATAATAAATAAAATTCTGAAATTTTAAACATTGTTTACAAAATTTAATATCATTCAAAAATTAACTATTAATTAACAGTACCCAACGGCAGGGGCGAGTCCACCCTCAATTGATTTTTTTACCACTACATCATATCTATATATTTATTTCTCCCACCCAATATTTATTGTTTAGCCCACCCAAAATCCAAATTAATGCAAAAAGGCCCTAATTTTCCATTATATTATATCTATAAATTTATTTAGCCCACCCAATATTTACTGTTTACCCCACACAAAATTCAAATTAATGCAAAAGAAGTCCTAATTCCATTTCTTTTCTTTTCATGTTTTCAAAATAGTCCGGAACCCCCGAAAAATTAAGCCCGACTCGCCGCTACCCATCGGATAATGGAGTTGAAATTGCAAAAAAAATCATGTTGCATAGAACAGCTACAGAAATAATTACTAAAATACAAAACATACTTACAATCATAAAATTGCATCTTCTTTTCGAACTTGCGGTCTGCATTGGTCTTCCCATCGGATCTGAAAATGATGAAAACAGAACAACATCAGCATTAACTCAACCGCACAGCACCAAAAGCAAAAAATAAATAAAATTAATAATAATAAAAATAAAGGTTGCGAAAATACTGATAAAAAATACACAATATATATATATATATCGTCAAATTTTACCGTGAGCTGGTTTTCCCCATTAGCGGAACGTCAAATTTCTCAGCTCTCTGTTAATTGCTGTATATAGATGACAAATCAAACATATGAAGAATCGAATTTGGGGAGATGAAAATTAAATTAGGGTTTAAAGAGTGAGAAAAAGCATACATTTGGGTTTATGTCTGGCGATTGGGTGTGTGTTAGTGCTTATGGGCCAGCCAATATACATAAAAGCCCAATACATACTAATTGAACCTAGTTCCATTATCTAGTATAGAAACTCGATAAATTAATAATTTCATTTAAATTATAATTTTTTTCGGTTCTGATTTGATAAAAGACGTACTAAATTGTTAGTTTGATAGCTTAATATTTCACTGAATTTTATTAGTCTCGATTGTATTAATTTATAGAGGTTTAACTGTATATCGAATTAGTTTGTATTTGAATGGATTTAGATTCTTAATATACTTATACCTTACATTATATTTTGTATTAAATTTATTAATTTATAATATTAATGTGATTTTATCTATAAATTGTATTTATGTAACTAATGCTAAATAGGAAATCGAATCGAAATTGTATTTTATTTTGGGGAAATGAGTGATAATCCCCTAGTTTTCAAAATATATATGAGGAGGTCCAACAAATTTTTATCTCCTAGTAAAAAACCCAAATTCTGATCTTAATTAGTGAGACCCCCTGGACAACTTGAAGTACTTGTTTTACCCTTTTAGTTTTAATTCAATATATGCCCTAACCTCCTAATCTTATCTCATCTCATTCACACGTTTCAACCCACCGTCATTCTCTCCCTCTCTCGTCAGATCTGACTTCCCTTCTCTCTTCATCTCTCTTTATCTCTCCCTTTTTCTAACTCTCTCTCGCCAGATCTCGCACCGACAAAGAAGAGGAAGAAGAAGCGCAACCCAAACTCTCCACCATCCGATGTGCCGCCGCATCGCCGTCGAAAAACTACACCCTCAGTCTTCACCTCGGCGACGGCAACGGCCCCGAAGTCATATATGTCGCAACGAATGTCCTACAACAAGTCGGTTCCATCGAAGGTAATTAATCAACGAAAATCGAATTTATTGGAAAATTAATGAGGATTTGCAAAGAAAAATATTTCCTGAGTGTTGATTGAATGATTTGATTTTATTGGTTTTGTTTGCTACTTTTTGAAGTTTGATTTTCATCTTTCCCCCTTCTCTATCTGGTGTTGCAATTGTTTAAGGATTTGAAAAAAAAAAAAATTAATTAATTAATTGATTGATGGTTCGGTTCATGTTGTTAATCTATCATCTTTAAAGGTGTTTTTTTCTTCACCTTTTATTTTAATTTATTATATTTTATTTTATGTATTTTCTGTTGGCACAAAATTGTAGTTTCTCTTGGGTAATGAATAATTTAATGATGTTTCAAATTGCAGGTTGTTGGTTCGTGGTCTGAACATTCAGGTTCAGCTGAGTTTGCTGCTTTTGAACCAATGTTTATAACAACTCCAAAAAAATTACTTATTATCCTTGATAATAATTCCTGAAGCTCTATTATGATATGAATCTTTTGGTAGTCATATATGATCACGTATAGTAATATATAGTTATATATAACCTATGTAGTAACATACTAACTTGTAGTAATATATAGTTATATCTAACTTATGTAGTAACATGTAGTCATGTATGAGTTATGTGAGGAGTATATGCTGGTGATGTATATGTATATTAGTGATGATATCATTGGGGCACATGTGTGTAAAAAAATTATCTTCTGCACTTCTCAAATTGATTTTCAGCCTTGGTCGGTCAAAGGTGGGTCAAACTGTTTTTTATACTTCGTAGCGCAACCTGCTTTGTGTTCTCCCCTTCAGAACTTTTCATTCAGAATACTTTTATGGACATTAGTTTTAATATTTTGGTTAATTCTTTGAACACTTGGCTTATTTTTTATACATTTAAAATTGTCTGCTATTTTTTTGTTTTTCTTTTTTAATAATATATAATGTATGCCTTGAGCAGCATTTGACAGAGACAATCGAGGAAAGCAGAACGAAGCATAATTGATTACCTTACACTGTTGGCACGGTAAGTAATAATTTTATTTTTCAACCGGATTGTTATATTCACCATTTTATATACATTCACTTGTGAACTTTTTTGGTGGTGTAGATGAATTTTATATATATACATATATAGTCACATGTGGTCATGTACGTGTAGTCATATATAATCACATGTAGTAACAAGAATGAACATAACTACATGTGACTATAGTTGACTACATATAGTCATACTAGTCATATGCAGTAACAATAATGCAAATAACTACTTGTGACTATAGTTCACCAAAATAATTTTATCAAAAAAATGTATTTAAGTGTGTTTTTGTATTTTTTTCATGTAATGTAATTCGTTTGTTCCATTTTGTTCTTCGTTTAATTCTTTATCTTGTATTTTTTTTCACAGGTTTTGCTTTGTATAACATTATGAGATACAAAGAATAAGATGCAGAGAAGTGCCCTGTGAAGTTGCATTCCTGCTACAGTACTCCAGACTTATGTCACTTATATACCTATAAATGATTGTAGATAACTATAGTCACGTGTAGTAACATATAGTTATATGTATGTTATGTGTTTTTTAATATATAGTAATGCGTGTTCATGTTTTGAAGATTTTTTGCATGTGATTGTGTTTTTTTTTGGTTAGTTGATTTATAATATCAAGAATTAAATTGTGAATTTTGTTGTTGGTGTAGATTAATTTTGGGGTAAAAAGACAGTACCTGATTACATATAAACTATACATGAATGTGGTATACTATAGTTATGTGTAGTATATTGTAGTTATGTGTAGTCAATTTCGGTACAGTAGATTTATCAAAAAAATTAAAAAAATAAAAAAATAAAAATTAAAAAAATTAAAAAAAAAATTAAAAAATTAAAAAAAAATAAAAATTAAAAGAATTAAAAAATAAAAGAATTAAAAAAATAAAACGAAAAAAAATAAAAAAATAAAAAAAATAAAAAAATGGTATATATAAAAAATAATAATAAAATAAACATTTATATATTTTTAATAAAAAATCTATAAAACTGATAAATGCAGGCCCATAATGCTAAATAGAGTTGGGCATTATGCTGAATGTAGGGGCAAAAATACTGAATGCAGTTGGGCGAAATTTTCACTTAATGGCACAATAGTACTTTTGCCTCTCCAGAGATGTATCTCAAAGGAATAATTTAGGGATAGACTTATCCCTATATATTTTTCATTCTAGGGGTGTATATCAAATGGATCCTTTTATTTTTTAGTTATATTTACTAGTGTCATCACGGGAAGAGATAGGGTTACTAATTTAATGAAAAATAGATTTATACGTGATTTATTCATTTTTAACATAATTCTCTATTGTTTTGGGCTTGTCACATTAAATACGCTTTAGCTCGTTTAAAACGGCAACGCAAGGTCTCGCCATATATGATCTTACCTCGTGTTATGGCCTTGATCCCGCGTTAACACATCTCGTAAGGTTGATATTCTCTCATTAGTATCTTTTAACTTGACTGAGCTTTCCGGTTTTTGAACCGCCCTTCTTGAACTTTTTATTCATAAAAGTAAATTTACTTTATTTGTGCGGGTAAAACCTGAAGGGGCAATATAGTCAATTACCATTAACATTACTAAAAAAGAAAATGAATAAATTAAAAAAATTATGGTAAATTACAACCACCCCTGATGTATGGTCAAATTATGAAAAATCTCCTCTTGTTTGGGTAATTACAATCACCCCTCAACTATAAAACTTCTTACACGTCCATCCTTGCGGTTTCAAATTTAGTGGAATCTTCGAGATTATATCGAATTTTATCAATTTTGTACCCGTTTTATCCCATTCGAACTCCACATTTTGAAGCAAGATGATCATAATATGTGTTTTTTGGCTTGTATATATCAT